CCTCCTGTCCCCCCTGTCCTCCTGTCCCCCTGTCCTCCTGTCCCCCCTGTCCTCCTGTCCTCCTGTCCTCTCCTCCTTCCACCCAGACGTCAAACAGCTAAATGTTAGCGTTGGTGCTATCGTCAGGATGAAGGTCCATCGGAGTCTGTGGAGCTTCTAACCTTTCTGATGATGTCATATGATGATGTCAGAGTGGTGGGCGTGGCCCTGTCTCACCGTGCTGACGTCCTGCTGTCCTTGAGTCGAGCCATCCTCTAAAACAGAGACAAAGAGTCGGTTCTGCTCCTTCACTGAAGGTCGTGGGCTTCAGACGGGTCTCCACCCACGTGTTGGTCCTCAGCTCTATGTCAACACTGAGGGAAGGGAGGGGCCTGGTCATGTGACCTCTTACCCGTCGAAGCAGACTGAGATGTTCTTCAGAGCTGCTGAAGTTCTGAGCCAGGTCAGAGATGCAGAGCGGCCGGTGCTGACAGTCCTGGACCCAGCGCTGGTACTCCACCGTACCAGGAATCCTGTCCAGGAAAACCCGAAAGGCTTCCCACACGGCCTCCTGACACACTGAGGTCACACACACACACACACACACACACACACACACACACACATGGCTGGTCTGATCTACACCTGGTGCTAGCTAAGAGTTAGCCGTCCAGATCATGTGACCTACCTCTGAGCTGGTAATAGGCCTGCTGACTCCTCACCACGTCACTCAGGTTTTCCTCCGGACAGATCTTCACCCCTGGGTGCAGGAACACCGACCTCCTGACCCGGGGTCGTCCCACCTCTGACCCCCACCCTCTCTCTCTGTGGGTCACGCTGGTCGTCTTCAGCAGGTCCAGGAGACTAGACCGAGGCCGGGAACCGCTGTCTGACACCAAAGGAGGAGCAGAGAAGAATCTGAGGAGGTGTAAAGAACCTGGAGAACCTGGAAAACCTGGGGAACCTGGAGAACCTGGAGAACCTGGGGAACCTGGAGAACCTGGAGAACCTGGGGAACCTGGAGAACCTGGAGAACCTGGGGAACCTGGAGAACCTGGAGAACCTGGGGAACCTGGAGAACCTGGAGAACCTGGGGAACCTGGAGAACCTGGAGAACCTGGGGAACCTGGAGAACCTGGAGAACCTGGGGAACCTGGAGAACCTGGGGAACCTGGAGAACCTGGGGAACCTGGAAAACCTGGGGAACCTGGAGAACCTGGAGAACCTGGAGAACCTGGAAAACCTGGAGAACCGTCAGAACCACTGACACAACAGGTGAAATACAAACACACAAAAATACAAGTCACAGACCGAAAGAACGCACCTGTCTGTAAGCTAAAGCTAAAGCTAAAGCTAAAGCTAAAGCTAGTCCTGTTTAGTCACAGCTGTAACATGGTATTTCACCTGGTAATGTTAGGTTACCAGGTGAGGTGAGAGTTTCTTCATGTTTCTCTAAAGGTGAAGCTGTGAATCAGTGTTAATGCCCCCCCCCA